CTTCTCTTGGGTGTTCAGGAATGTGCGCCGCAGCGAGAGCCTTTGCGTGGAGCGCCGTCACTCTCGCCGTAGTGGCTCTACCCGGGCCAAGCAGTCTCGCTCCCGTAGCGACGTGGACCTGCAGTCAACTTCCACCTCCCACCCCCTCTCACCCTCCCCACAGCATTCAGTCTCGTAAGGCAAAGACTAACCATCACACACACTTAGAAACTCTCATACACACACACCGTCCACAGGAGACAGCAGCACAAAGGGCTTCTCAGTAACTGATAGAAATCAGAAAATGTAATCATCACTACCTTAACTATTTTTACACTGCTTAACACGTATGTATCCCTTTTCAATTTTTTCCCTTCATTTGTCTCTTAGTGTGGAAGGTGGGTTGTTGCCTGATGGCCTCGTCACTGGTCCTGTTTTTGGCCCCTTCCCTCAGCAGGAAGAGATGGAGCCCCGTCTCCTGGAGCTCGAGCAGGACCCGCCCAACTGGAGGGCCCTTGCTTCTCCTGAGGACTTGAGAAAACTGAGCAAGAAGGAAATCAAAAGACAAGAAGTCATCAACGGTAATACAATCAAGAATGTTGAAAAAATATCCACAGGTTCAAGTGCCTTATTTTGTTGAATCTGCTATGTAGCAGGGTGCAATGATGAACACATTTTTCTCTGTGTGTCTCTCAGAGCTGTTTACGACAGAGCATGCTCATGTCCGTATGCTGAGTGTATTGCAGACTGTGTTTTCTCGTCCGCTGGAGAGGGAAGAGATCATTACCGTGACTGAGCTGGCCACCATCTTCCCCAGCCTCGATGAGATCATAGAGATGCATTGTATGTATCCACTTCAAATATATTACTACACTGAAATCTGCATGGTTTTAATAGATTTTGATGGCCCTTCAAATTATGTATACAAAAATAGCTAAGTTAAATAGTCATTAACAGCCTTGATATAGCTTAAATCCATTATTTTTTTTAGATGCTTTCTATGAGAACCTGAAAAAACAGCGGCAGGAGAATGAGTACATTGTCAAAATCATAAGCATGCCACTTCTCAACAGGGTAAGTAGCTTAAAGAGTGTGCTAAAGGCTAGTTTTTCATGTTCTTTCTCAACACTGTGTCATTCAGCATTCATCTTGACAACATGAACTTATATCAGCTGTTACACAAATAGACATGTCTTTATCTCTGTAGTTCAGTGGATCAGAGGGAGAGTGGTTTCAGAAGCTCACAGCACGCTTCTGTAGCTACCAGTCCTGGGCTCTGGAGCAGATAAAGAGCAGACAGAAGAAGGATCCCCGTTTTAATGCTTTTATACTGGTACCTTTACTCTTAAAACACTCTTTTCCATGTTATTGCAACTGTTCGGCAGTCACATAAATGTATTATGATAGGTTATGGAGGCTTGGCATTTCAAAATGTCTTTAAGTAAATGTTCTGCGTTTGTGTTGCAGGAGGCAGAGAGTAAGCCACAGTGTCGGAGGCTACAGCTGAAGGATATCATTCCCATAGAGATGCAAAGACTAACCAAGTACCCTCTTCTGCTGGAAAACATTGCCAAGAACACAGGTTTTCAAATCTTAATACTGCTTTATTTCTATAAAACCATTTGTGCAAACAGTGCAAAACAGTTGCTAAACAATTGCAAATTGACGTAAAACCGAAGTAAATAACAGATTAAATAAAAATACCACAAATAAAAAAAAATATCAGTTTAACACATCGATTTTCTTAATTAAATAAAATACACTTGAGTTCAAAAATTTGGGGTCAGTAAGTCAAAAATAGTAAAAATAGTGGGTAAATACTTTTATTTCGCAATGATAGTGATAATAATTTAGCATGATTAAATTGATCAGAATTGAAGACCTTTAAAGACCTTAATATTGTTACAAAAGATTTGCTGTTATTTTGAACTCTCTATTCAGCAAGGAATCCTAAAAAAATGTATCTGCCTTGCCATCACAGGAATAAGTAAACATTAAGAACTGCAATGTATTAGTCAAAAAACTGGTTTATAACCAATGTCCATTTCTCACAGATGATGAAGCAGAAAAAGAGAACATTAACCAAGCAGCAGAATCCTGCCGCAAGATCCTCAACCATGTCAATGAAGAAGTTAAACTCATGGAGAACCTGCTGGTGAGAATTCATTAGAAGTTCCTTCATCTAAACAGGGTTTACTGTAAGGATGTGTGGTCTGGCAGTATACAGGCATTACTACATTCCAGCATGTTGTGATGTATGTATTTAGTATGATACTGTACAAACTTTTTCATACTGTGATATAAGATTTTGGTCATACCACCCACCCTATATGGATTGCTTAAACTTAATTCATAATTTCTAATATGCATTTTCCCAACAACCATCTTCAACTTCAACATCTTCTACCCATCTTCAACTCAGATTTTGAAAGACTATCAGCGCCGGCTGGACACCTCAGGACTGAAACCGAGCAATGACCTCTACAGTGAGTACAAGGTGAGAAATATCTTGAAGTCTCATGTGTGAGGTACTAATGTTACTAATGCAGACACTCTGGCGCTGATATGATCCGCTCTTCTCTCTGTTCATCAGAACATTGATCTGACCACCAGAATAATGCTGTTTGAAGGACCTCTGACATGGAGGGTGACCAAGGAGAAAGCGATCGGTAAGCCCCGTCGACACACTCCCCCAAATGAAAATTTTCTTGCAAATTGACACATTTTTTTTTGCCTTTTTATTGCTTCCATAATCAAGAATGCAGCCTCTTACTCAACATACTTTTTGTGTGTGTTTGCAGATGTGCACTGTGTTTTGCTGTCAGACATGCTGGTCTTGCTTCAGAAGCAGGATGATAAGATGGTTTTGAAGTGTCAGAGCAAAAGCAACATAGCCATTCAGGAAGGCAAACAGATGCTGAGTCCAATCATCAAACTAGAATCTGTTTTCCTCAGAGATGTGGCCACTGGTGAGTGAGTGAGAATTAGCATGTTTTATTCTGAATAACGTGAATTTGATATAAAGTTACTTCTGTTTTTTCCATCAGACCCGAAGGCCCTCTATGTTATCTTCACTTGGGACAGCGGAGCACAGATCTATGAACTAGTGGCTCAGTCCATCGGGGAGAGGAAAAAGTGAGTGTGAACCATATAAAGCCATTTATATTTAACACTTACACGAATGACTGGCAGGCAGATGATATGAGATCCCACTTAAAAAATTGAAATCCAAAACATGTAATTTGATATGACACTCACAGTCTATTTTGTTCCAGTTGGACAGAGGTGATTAAGACTACGGTCGACGAGTTGAAGAAGAGGGACGGGAATAAGCTAACCAGAGAAAGAGGCAACAGCATACCTAGCAGCTTCATTGGACCTGTATACAGCCCGTGAGTGTGTTTTTGGCAAATATCCCCATAAGAGTAATTGGGCGTCCTTTTGAAGGTGCTGTCGAGCTAGCAAGCTCAAAGCTGACTTCAATCTTTAAAATGATTTCCATTTCTTTTCTCCAGTTTGCATCCCCCTCTTAGCCCCACTGAAAATGGAGGAGACCTGTTGAAAAGTCGCAGTGGTGAGACTTTTGGCTCTTGGAAATAGATATTAAAGGGATAGTTCACCCAAAAATGAAAATTACCCCATGCTTTACTCACCCTCAAGCCATCCTAGGTGTATATGACATTCTTCTTTCAGACAAATACAATCAGAGTTATATTAAATAATGTCCAGGCTAATCCATGCTTTATAATGGGAGTGGATGGTAGCCCAAAATTTGAAGTCCAAAAAATTGCACCCATCCATTATAAAAGAAGTCCACACGGCTCCGGGGGGTTAATAAAGGCCTTCTGAAGCGACGCGATGCGTTTGTGTAAGAAAAATATCCATATTTACAACTTTATAAATCTTAATCTCTAGCTTCCGCTAACTGTCTTACGTACGTTCACGAGAGAGTAGCATCCAGTGAATGACGTAGGACGTAGACGTAGCATAAGCTCCGGTGAAAATATGCTAGTCTCGCGAGAAACAAGTTTTGTTTACAGCAAAGAATAACCAGTGTCCTCTTGGCTTATATTGAAATCCTCTGACATTTTTCTTTACAAATCCTCGTTTTATACTACTAATTCGTGACCGGTGTTTTGTTTTGCTCTCTCCTCTGCGCCTCCACGTTCATCACTTCCGCGTTCGTCACCGCGTTTGTCTACGTCCTACGTCATCCGCTGGACGCCACTCTCTCGTGAACGTGCGTACGACAGTTAGCGGAAGCTAGAGATTAAGATTTATAAAGTTGTAAATATTGATATTTTTTTTACACAAATGCATCGCATCGCTTCAGAAGGCCTTTAATTAACCCCCCGTAGCCGTGTGGACTTCTTTTATAATGGATGGGTGCAATTTTTGGGACTTCAAATTTTGGGCTACCATCCACTCCCATTATAAAGCATGGATTAGCCTGGACATTATTTGATATAACTCCAATTGTATTCGTCTGAAAGAAGAATGTCATATACACCTAGGATGGCTTGAAGGTGAGTAAATCATGGGGTGATTTTCATTTTTGGGTGAACTATCCCTTTAAATCTATCCAAGTAATTTTACCATGGTATTTTAATATGACTGTGTGTTACTTTATTTCACCATAGGGCGATTTAAAGACAGTCTTACTGATGAGAAGAGTAGAGAAACTGATTCTTCACTCATAGACTACCTAGCAGCCAATGGCTTTGACCTGCTCAGCCATAGCCACGCCCCTCCAGAGAAGTCTGCTATTGGTGCTTTGGATGAAGGTCATAAAATGTGTCATTTTATGCAGGTCTGACAGTGAAGACTTATAATTTCATGCTGTACTTAATCTTATTTTGCTTGTATACCTCTCGCAGTCATGTATTTGAAGAGGCTATTGGTCGGCAGTATTAGCCTGTCAGATGACTCTCAGACTCTTGGGGAAAATGCACCTGAAAGCCAGGAGGCAGATGGAGGTCAGTCGTCAGGTAATGCACACAATATTGCTTCAGGTTTTAAGCTGAAGAGGTTCAACCTCACATTTAATCATAAAGTACAGCTGTGCTCCCTCCTCACCAAACCATTTAGAAATGTGAAAAACGGTCATAAATTATTGATTGATATTGAAATCCGCAATGCCTTTTTTTCCTTCTCAGTGGAGGAATCCAGCACAGAAGGAAGAACTGAAGAAGAGAGTGGGGGAGATGGAGGGAATAAAGGAGAAGAGGAAAGAGGGATAAGTGCTCCTCTAGTGCTTTCTGAGGAACGCATGGAGGAGGTGCAGAGGAGACTGCAGACTCTTGGGGAGCAACTGAAGAGATTGCAGGCAAGGAGAACACAAATACTTTTGTGAAAGAGAATAGGGTCAGTTCTTCAGTTCTTGAAGAGGAGAAAAATTGGTTTCACTTTATTTTGATGGTCCCTTTAACACATTCTGTTGACTATAAGTAACGTTGCACCTACATGTCTACTAACTCTCATTAGAGTATTAGTAGAGTATTAATAGATTGGTAGGGTTAGGGTTAGAATAAGTTGACGTACTTGCTGTCTGTTGGGAGACCATGACAATAAAGAGTTAGCAGATATTAAGCAAACAGTCTACTAATACTCTGATGAGAGTTAGTAGACATGTAGGTGCAACATTACTTATTGTCAACAGAATGTTCAAAAGGGACCATCAAAGTGTTACCGAAAAATTTAACTTTATCTGAGCGAGATGAATAAGCTGAGAGAGGTGCCCTACCTAATATGCATCTCTGATGTTGTGTTTGTTCCCAGGCTGTTGAGGAGGACCATTATAAGTTGCAAGAAGCTCTTGCTAAATATTCACTTCAGGGGGGCCATTACAACTGAGAAACTTCACAACCTGCTGTTACAAGGTACTACCACATACCAAACACAAAACCATATTTTTTATGTGTATCATCTTCATTTTTATATAGCACCATTCTCTTTTTTTTTGAAAGTATAGCAATTCCATTTCTATCATCTGTCTTCTTTGTCCTCAGATTACTGTATGTGCTGGACTCAAGACTTGCTTTCGAGGGATTCGCTGATTGACTAATTCTGCCTGAATGTTCCTGCTCTATCTCTTCTCTCTTCTCAACTGTCCTTTCTGAAGATTGTCAGCAGGCCTCCAGCACTTTCCATGCCACTGAGAAATGAAATGAAGTGGGTGTTGCGAAATGATAGTGATCCTTGCCCTTGAATGATTGTGTATGTGTTTCTGTTGAGAGGTATGAGAGACAGTCTTGCCAAAAGATGCCAAAGAAATGTGCAACACCTAGAGAGATATCCGAATGAAATGCTACGTGTACATGTGGAAGCAATGTAACATACAGAAACATGCGCACACAGACACACACACAAAGATAAGCATGTCAAAAGTAATTTAGTACCAAAAGACTATCTATATTCATATAAAAGTATAGTTGCCTCTTTGTGAATGCAGTCTGATGCATATGAAGCCTGCTTCTCAAACTGTAGTTTAGTAGGTTTTCAATAAGGTAATTTAAACAGATAATGTGCCCTTTTATTTTTTGCCTTTTTATTATACACATTTCAAGATGTTCACTCATCCTAATAATTATTGCCGTGCTATATTACATGTATTTTCAAAAATAATAGATATTCAAAAGGATATATGTAGAACCGTTGTTGCATGCATTGGCCAAATTGTTGTAAAATGGAGAGTGAGAGTAAGAGTATGGACCTTTTTTTTTAACCTTGTTTTTCTTTTGTTTTATCTTCTTACCAGAAGTTCTGTTGTTGCTCTGTGAATCAGAAAAGAAGTGCTAAGTAGGATAGATCAGCAGATGGATGAACAAAGATAGTAGAGAGAAGGTTTGAGGAAGGTGGGCTTGTTTTGTTATGCCTAACCCCTCTGAAGTGAAAACAAGGCAGGCATTGATGGTGAGAGATCTCGTCAGGGTTTGACATTGTGGTTGTGAGGAAATATGCACATATTATGTAGCATTTTGAATGACCAGCTTGCAGGTACATCCACACATCGGTGCTGTTATAATGGGAAGCATGCACAATGTATAGCGTTCTCTAATGCAGGTGCTGCAGATTGTATTCTGGTAGGTCAACTCAGATCTTAAGATAATCATCACACATTGCCTATTTGTGTGCACTATGCAAATTCTGTGTCTGTGGCTGTAAATGTATTAGTCATTTCTGATAATTCAGTTTTTTCTGTCTTTATGTTCTCCAGTACAATTACTCTACAGTTTGCAAAAATATAGTTTTTTTCTGTAATTGCTTGTAATGATGTCTCTAAGTTTATTTTATTTTAGGGAGTCGCTTTCTTTAAAAGCAGGACCAAAGAAATTATAGTGGAACAAAGTTTAGATATATAAACACTTTTGCCTTGCATGGGGAGGTCAGCTGTAAATTGGAATGACTTACTGAGCTGTAAGGGGGTCCGATCTCGTCGCCCACCCCTTTCCAAACTCTTGAGTGTTCGCCTTAGCTGCTGGGTCAACCCACAAAATGGTGAAGTGGATGCATTGGCTTGTAAATGTGTTGGCTTATCCTATTTAAGACAGAAGGAATTAAGTTGGTTCAGAACTGAATTGCTGTATCGGTAATAGAGAAGTATCCTGATTCTCATTGTCAGTCCATGATTTCCAGCTTAAGGGACCAGCTTTTTCTCTTCTGCTCTCCCTGTCTTATTTGGAAACCAGACCACAGAGAATCAGGCACATGCAGGGGTTGATGATGATGTTATATCTTTGAGTTTGGAGACAGGAACACAAACTGTAGGTTTTCTCACCAGTACTGTAATTATTTTCATGTATTCATGATGCTACTGCAACAGGTCTTTTTACCCTCGACCGACTTCCAAATTATGCAACTTATTTTACCTTATTTGTTACATATTGTGATTTATATTCATTGTAATTGTGTTGATATTTGTGATTTCAGTAAGGCCTTTTCCCGCTCTTTTCCCAGCTGATTACCTTTACAAAATGGTTTATCAGAACAATTTGCCAGAGGTCTTGCATTCTGGTCAGCAGTGTTGATCCCTTCATATTTTTGTCCTTTTAGAAGTAGCAAACGAAAATGTTTAAAGTTTGGTAATGAAACTATCATGGTGCAAGATCTGTTCTACCTACTTCACTTTCCTACAGTCCCTTTGCACAATTTTTTTTTTATTCGCGATTGCTTGAATGGGTGGTTTATTAATTTCCTTTGATTCTGTTGTTTTGATTTTCTTGGAAAATTATGTAATTACCATACTATGCATTGCCTATTATAAAAGGACTGAGAGAGTCAAAGTGCACCCTTAACTATAAAAAAAAGGCTTCACTGAATTTCACTTTTATGGCAAGAGTCTTATTTTTGATGTGGAACTGACCACAATTTAAATTCGATTAGAAAGTTTCAAGTTAAGCCTTGAACCCTTGATAATTGATAAGACGGGGTTTTGGGTGTGGTGTCATTCTCTCTCATTCCTTAAAATTTTCATGTGTATCTGTCACATATACGCATACATAGTGATATATCTGTATGTTTAAATCTATTTATAGGGTGCCTTGTGCAGATTGGGTTTGTTTTTATTTCTAAAGGGCTCTTTAAGTCCAGCTGACAGGCACGGGTGTCCTTTTTAGCGATGTTCAGTGTTAAATATTAATCTGATATTTTGCTCCAGACCTGCCAAATTATAGCAGTTCCACTCATTTGTTCTTAAAAATGGCTGAGTGCTTAGTACTGAGTGCTCTTTTTTAGATCTTTTAAAGCCTCTGCAATGCATGACTGTCTTTTATGTAATTGTGTGTACAGAAGTCCACTCATTACAGGCATTGCTGTCCGTCTATATAAATGATTATGCAAGGACTATTCTGTGTATTTGGGCTTTGATTTTATATGTAAGATACATAAAAATTTAGGTACTTTTTTTTTTCTTTTTTTTAAATAAACGATCAAAAATGATTTGAGCGTTTATTGTCCTTATTTTCAGCAGCATTCAGTTGATATTAACGGTTTACCCCATAATCCAAAATAGAGAAGAATGTACAGAGGTTGGACAAATAAATGTTTTTATGGGGTTAATATCATTTGTATATGTTACAGTGAAAAACAAAAATCCAATTATCTTTATCCAGTTATTATGTCTATATTCTCTGCTTTGTGTATAGTATAAGTTGTGTTTAATACAAATTGGGGGTAAAATGGGTGACTTGTTATGACTTCCAAAAAATCATGGGAGCCTTTTTTGCAGGAGCATCTGTAACCTTAATGACCCAGTTGTTTTGGTGTTTTACGAACAAAAGTCTTTATGATTATGACTGCATACACAAGGCATGGCAAGACTTCATCAGAGAAGACTGAAAGTGAATGATAGGGACCATCAAACACTAAACGGGACTGTGTCCAAACAATGCAGAACTTCTGCAGCAAAGTGACAGCAAACCTCAAAATTCACTTTGAAGACCACAAAAACTGACCACAGAGAACTTCACAAAACCGACATACATGAAACTGTAAAGCTACAACTGATAAAACTTTAATCAGAGACACCAGTGGTAAAATGGGTGAAAAAATAATGATGATCATACTGCCTGGACGGCTGGAATGCACCAAGATGAACTTCTGCCCTGGCCAAACAAATCACCTGACATGAATATTATTAAACCACTGTAGGCAGTTTTGGAGAGAAGGGTGAGAAGCAGATTCCCATCTCTAAAGCAACTGGCAGATTACTAGAGACTATTCGAAAGTTGTATGAATCTTTTCTAAGACGTTAGAAGCTATTTTAAAGGCGAATGCTGGTTAAACACATTAATAATGAAATATTGCATATTTTCCAGGAGTTCACATTATTTTGTCCAGCCCCCGTATTTGCGTGTGTTCACCACAAACTGAAATAGAAGAATGGGTGGGTTTAGATGATACAGGAAGACAAACACTTGAAAGGCACATTTACTGATGAGCAGCAAGAAGTTTTTTATCAGGAGAGTTTATCGGGTTTATTAGAGAAAATGCCGTTCAAACTGGTCATTTTCTTGTGCTTCTGGGAAGGTAAGGAATAGCATATATTTAATGTGTGTATGTGATGTTGGTTTTAATGTAAAATTTTTATATTTGTTAAACTTTCATTATTATTAACTGGTTTTAAAATAATCTGAGCTCTCTTTGAGCACAAAAAATATAGAGAGCAATTTAAATGTAGTTTTTGGAAAGCCTACCATTTCAAATTCAGTAATAAACTTTTTATCGCCTACAAAAGAACGAAGTACACAAAGTTTCCATCTGCACGTCTGTGTTCTGCTTCAGTGAAGCTGATTTCCTCTCAGAGCAGCTGTTTCAATTTGCATCTTATTGCTACCAGTGTCTAGATTTTTCACCAGTTTTTACCCCTTTGTCTTTTTCAGTGTGACTTTCAATTTTAAGGGTCTAATTTAATTTTACACTGTATTGAGTAGCTTTTCACATGACAAGTCTTGTCTAAACAGCATTTTGTGGGTGGGAAGTGTATGGTTTAGCTAATAGATTTAAACATGCTGATATCATGTGGACTGAAGTTATTGCCTGTTGGGGGGAAATTAAAGCCATATATTAAGATGCTTTGATATAAGAGGTTTTAATCACATATAAGCAAATCTTAAAGAAACCCCAGACTATGCTCATGGATTGTTTTGCACATGAATACTTTGCTCTGCTGTTCTGCCATCCAAAATTATAGCATATTATTATATGGCTTTTTGGTTTATTGTCCTTTGCATAAGCTGTTGCCAACGCTGATTTAAAAGAGCTGAAACTGGAGGCGGATAAGCCACTTGAGCGTGTGGCTCTCTCCCATGAAGCCACCATCCGTTGCTGCTACCACTGGAACAAGAAACCCCATGTCACCTGGATCATAAATATTCAAAACACCAATGGTACCACAATGCCCAGTATAGTAAATCAGTCCGAAGATGTAATAGAAGAAAAAGATGAAGTCAAATGTCATTTGCTGTTTTTCAAGAGTGTCCGTCTCAGTGATACTGGCTTGTACCAGTGTAAACTGAATCATGACACTCTTCACATCTTTACCCATGGTACCTTCCTTCAAGTATACAGTAAGTCAGACCACAGCTATGTTTAAGTATACTTCATTTTATTTCTTGTCAGTATCACAGAAACATTTTCAGACAACTATATGCACTACTGTTCAATTTTTTATTTTTTATTTAAGTTCAAAAGAACCGCATTTATTTGACATAGAATTTCTTTTGTAATCGAAAAAAATCCTACTGACCTCAAGCTTTTGAAAAGCAGTCTATAATAAATACTGTTTATATAACTTATAATTATGCATTTTAATGTTATACATAATCTGATGTAGGCCCACTGTCTAACTATTTATTCTTCCCTACATAAATATGAAAGTCACAAACATAACAATGCAAGCACTCAAGCTCTCTTAAGAGGCTGCATTGTGCAATGATCCCCATAAATCTTTCAATTGGCTGAGTTAGGCAAACACAAATAACCCATTCAATGACATAAAACCAAATTCCACTCATTCATGCTAAGTTTGTGTTACTTAACTCTCCTTATATACACACATGCAAGTTTTATTGTCAGAGGAAGTGAAAGTGTCAGCTCTTTTGACATCTATTTTTGTCTGTTTGTTTCATTTTTCTCTGATTTTATTTAAGACAATGGTCCATGGTCAGTTTGATCTACTTGTCTTTTCTGAAAAGTCTTCAGGAGTTAAGACATTCTCTTTAATTAGAACCTTTGCAGAAAACCCTAAACCTCAGCGAGAGTGTGAAGAACAGCATTATTACAGCAGAAGGAGTGTTGCTGCTGATGTGTGTATTGATCCCTGGCACCATGCTCCTCTGTAAGGTCAGACACACTGATTGTGTAATGCTGATTTAATGTTGATTCAACATATTGGATGTATTCCATACAGCATATAAAAAAGAAAACTGCACCACACACAACATTAAACAAACAAATAAATAAAGTGATTCCATGATGATGATGATGTTCAACTTTATTCCTCCAGTCAAAGAAGCTGAATGAACTGGAGAGGAAGAAAGGACAGGAGGAAGAGAATATCTATGAGGTATGTCTATCCCCACTACATTTTCTTTTTCTTATTAACATGCTGCGTATTCACAAAAGTGACCTTCACAAATCCTTCAACAGGGTCTAAACCTGGATGACTGCAACTCAGCTTACCATCAAATTCAACGCTCCAATCAGCAAGGCCCCTATCAGGATGTGGCCACCTGTGGAGAAGACATTCAGCTTGAGAAGCCATAGCTGGAGAAACAGGGAAAGGGTCCATGTTAACAAGATAGACAGACAATGGAAAAGTGAACCCTGTGTATTATTTGAGATCAATTGTTTAAGTGGTGATTTTAGCATCTCGAGCCTGCTGTCAGTATCTTGAATCTCTCTAATAGTTTAGAAGATAAGCTTGTTTGTGTTTTGCAGTGGTAAATCAAACACATCCGCTAATGATTTGGATGAATTGTATTAAACATTTAGCTTTGTGTGGATATTTTGATGAATGTCACATTTTAAGTGTGTCCTGGGGAATAAATAAACAGACAGACAGACTCCACTGGATACTCAAATTGACAATTAAATGACAATACAAAGTGAGAGCAGACTAACTGAGAGAGCAACCTGCATAGTAATAGTTTGAAGATAAGCTTGTTTGTGTTTAGCAGTAGTAAATCGAACATTTCTGCTAATGATTTGAATAAACTGTATAAAACATTTAGCTTTGTGTGGATATTTTGATGTGAGTCATATTTTTAGTGTGTCCTGAGGTAGATTATTATTATAAATAAATAAATGCACTTGATACTCAAATTGGCCATTAAATGACACTAGAGAAACTGGCATATTTATTTTATTGTAGGCTATTGTATTTTGACGTTATAGGAGGGTCATTTGGCTTAATATGGGCAGCATGATGGGCAGTACTATGAAATGAGAACTATGTGATAGGTGCTTTGATTGTTCTCTGACGCGTTATTGGCTATTGATTTTAATGTAGGCGTGGTCTCCGTTAAGGTATGTCCAGACAGAACAGAGTGGGGAGGTAATAATTCGTGTTTGAGGAAGATGGCGTCTGCGAAGAAGGCAGGGAGCGGTGTTCTTGAAAAAGCAGTAAACAGAAGACGCTCGTCAAAACACAAAGAAGGTCCAATAGGTATATTCTAATTTAATAAACATAAACGCTTTTTGGAGGGGTGAGTTGTCGCTTATAAAATGACATCCGCGCTCCCAGCTAGATAGTTTCAGAAGTGTCAAACAGAAGATTAAAGCCCGAGCGTTTACTGTAGCCTACATTAATGCTGGTATAATGTAGCACATCGTATGAGCACTGTTATTTCCTTACTCATATGTAAACATAGGTTTTAAAATGTCTCATAAGATTGCCAACAGGTTTTTAATTACGTTTGAACTATGTTGTGTTATGCAATACATCGGCTGTGGTAACAGTAACACTGTAGTGTAGTGTTGCAGTTATTCACTGATGACATTTCTAGTTAAGGATGACATTTTATTCAAAGTGTGTTGACAACACATTTTAGACAGGAGAGAATATACATACGTTTGAATGACCTGTGAGTATTTGTCTAAGCTTTGCTGTAGTACGTCAGGATATGCTTTCGGATGCCTGACTCATGAATGATCTAGAGACTGACGCCTGTCTGTGTGCTTTTAAGCTTATAATCACAGTAAAGATGTGTGTAGTAAGTGTAGATGCTCTTAAAGGGATAGTGCACAAAAAAAAAGAAGAAAATTCTGTTATAATTTACTCACCCTTGTGTTTCTCCAAACCTGTGTGACTTTCTTTTATTATGTGGAAGGATGTTTTGAAGAATGACCGTTGATTTCCATATGGACAGAAAAAAAAAAAAGACGTTTACCAAATCTATCTTCATTTATCTTTCACAAAAGAAAGGTTTTGTAAAACGGCACAAGGGTAAGTAAAGTGTCTTTATGCCAATATGTTCTGGACCTCAGAACCAACTGTTTTGAGTGTTATCAAACCACTTTGGTCTTTTAAATAACCTTTTATTTCACCACAGTGTTATTGAGATGGTTCCCATGTTCTCTGTGTTGCAACGGCCAGTACGTCACTGGCTGTTTGGGTTTCAGGTTTTCACCATAGACCCCTGCCTTGTCCAGAGGATCTGTGAGAGGATTTGCCATCTAAATGCCTCACTCAGCCATTTTAAGGTCTCAGATGTGCAGAAGAACAGAAAGGAAAGATCTGTAGTTCTGCACATTCTTATATTGACCATATCACATTTTATGTGTAGGTAAGTTGTTTATGTGCTGCTGTCAGGTTTGGATGAGAGCGAGAGGAAACTCTTCACTGATGTCAGGGGGCCAGTGCATTGTTTTTCTTTTCCTGTTGAGATGATTTTACCACATTTACAAAATAATCTGGGACAAAGGTCTGCTCACGGCCTTCCATTGTTCCTTATTGCCAGCCGAATGAATAAAGGATGTGGTCCTGGATGTACGTATGTAGAACAGAGAGAGAAAGTTCAGGTCTGGTCAGTTCCCAAGATTCTTAGTAGAAATGTGTGGTCTTTGACCCATGAGGATATTGGGAAATCCATCTATATGCAAGCCTTTTGTAGTTTGTGCTAAAAATAAGCTGGGTTTGTACCAAAAAAAAATCAGAGAAATTCTAATTTGCCGGCAACTAATCTCTAGCAATTAACTTTTGTAACCTAAGCAGTGCAAACATTTTACATGAGCAATGTGACACAAGCTTGTTGTATATGTAATATATATATATATATATATTATTTAACAGTAATAAGGAATATTTCTAATTATTTCTAATTTCTTTTTCAAAAGTATGCTTCCTTTTTGAAAGTTGAGCATTTAAGTGCAGTTCTCATTTCTAGCCAGGTGAGACAATTTAAACACACAAACAACATCCCTTGCTATTTTCTGTTGATCTTCCACCTTTTTCTATTCCAACAGATAGTTTGACATTTGAAAATGTATGAAGTAATTTCCCCTTAAGAATTGTTAGCCATAAGATTAGTGCTAGCAAACTCACTTGGTATATGAGAGGTGCAAATCAAGTTTGTGATAAATATAGATGTCAGTAGGCAGTTAATGCATTCTAAAGAATAATAATAATGTATTTTTTCCCCCCCCAATTTTAGGTTTGCTAGGAAAAATTCATAGGGATGCATGGTGTATCTATGTTTTTAGAGATTTTTTTTAGTCGATAAAACTATTTTTAGAGATTTTTTAGATTAGTCGATATTGGATTTTTAATCATTTATTTCCCCTATTTTTACATATTGATTTTTTTTGCTGTTATCTAACACTCACTTAGCAAGTTAATCTTTAAAAACAATAACAGTTAACATAATTTGTTATCACTGTTATATTAATTTTTTGTATAGATAGTTTTTCCTCATTTAAAATAAGGAAATTCACTTATAGCATTTACGATTTTAGTGTTAATAGATTTTTTTAGTGTGTTAATTTTTTAATTTACATTATTTTTAATAATCTATAAAATAAAAATAATTATCTGCATCGCATATCCCTAGTTATTGAAGGTGAGCTTATTAAACCAATGTCAGTGTTATTTACTGTACAGTATTTTTTTATTATTATTTTGTCAGGATAACATTTTAGTAATGGATTGAAAGTATAGTAATTATAGTAATTTATACAGTGTGATGTGCATATTACTGTCTCACCATATGAAAGTAAATTAATTAACATAACTTATTTACACTGTTAAATTAATTTTTTTTTCTTAATTTAAAATGCATTCTTATGCATTAATATATACTTTGTTTTTAGCATTAATTGATGTTTAGTGTTTTTAGTGCTTAAATATACTTTTAACATCAATTAATGCTAAACACATAGTGTTTTATTTTTTTTTCATTTAATTTATTTTTAATATCATCCATAGCTTGAAAATAGTTTTCTGTATCAGCCAGAATTATTGGTGCATTCCTAGTTACTGAAGGTGAATTCATACTAATGTTACTTATACTCAACGTTGTTAACTGTGTAGTTTTGTTTATTTCAACAGAAATACATTTTAGCAATTGATTTATTATACAGTGTGACATGGATATTACTGTCTCACCATATGACCTAATACAATTGCCATATGACCTAATTGAAGTATCATCTGTGTAATGCACCACTTTTGGTGTAGAAATGACAAAAATACATTTTTAGAGCTCATTGTTTGTCTCTGTCTAGACCTTGTGTCAAAGAGAGGTGCCAGTTTTGGATCATCCAGTTAGGGCGAAGGTCACTGGCCAGCCCCTGGTGATACAACCAATAGAGTCAAAGGTTATTTAGGCAGTTATGGCTTTGTAGAGGCTAGTTGGTCTTAGGACACAGTTAGCCTGGATCCTGTAAACAGCAAACACTGTGTGTGTGTGTGTGTGTGTGTGTGTGT